CAGGCTTGGCAAAGCCTAACTCGGCCCAGCCTATTTTCACCCCTACTTATTTCAAACCATCCAAGATTGTGTTTTGACACTTCTCTCTCTCTCTCTCTCTCTCTCTCTCTCTCTCTCTCTATATATATATATATATATATATATATATATATATATATATATATATATATATATATATATATATATATATATATATATATATATATATATATATATATATATATATATTTATATATTTATATTTATATATATATATATATATATATATATATATATATATATATATATATATATATATATATATATATATATATATATATATATATATCTTTCTCTCTCTCTCTCTCACTAACATTTTAGTCGAAGTGCTTCTACGAGAAAGTTCTTTTGTGAGTAAGGTAAGTTGTAATTCTTGAAGGGTAGTATTGTAAAATTCATCAAGGGGAATATTTGTTTATACCTTAGTTGAATATTATCTATTTAGGGTTGTTTGGGTTAGAAGATAAACTCGTAAAAGCTTTTGGTTTAAGGATTGTGTGGTCAAGCCAATGTTTAGGTTCGAGATCAGCTCGTGGTAAAATCTTATAGGTTCTTGGTTAACTCATGGCAAAACCAAGGTTAGCTTAAAGTTTAGCCTGGTATTAAAAGCTTGGATAAGGTTCAAGGTTAGCCTGGTATTAAAATCTCTCAGGTTATTGGTTAGCTCGTGTAAAATCAAAGTTTAAGGTTCGTGAGCTCAGCTCATGCTAAAAGCTTGCAAAGTTTGTTTAGAAACTTAAATACTAACCGCTCCAAGATTTTCATGGAAATAAGACTAATCGCTTCAATCTACTGCATAGAAATAGGACTAATCGCTTCAATCTACCATTTGAAAGAGAAGACTCAAACTGTTAAATTCCTAGTCTTATTTTTTGGTGGGAAGTCAACCAGTTTCCTTGTATAAGGGGGTCCGTGAGTTTTACCTACAAAAGCTCTCAAATTTTTTTTGGATACTCTCAAGATCAATTCTAGGGGATATGACTAATTTGTTTCTTGACTCAACTTGTATAACTTTTGGTGTTCCTGTCTTCGTTTACCTTTTTTTTCCGCAATTTATGTTCTACAATTTAACTTTCTACTACTTAATATTTAAAATGATTTTAAACTCAAATTTAATCAGCAAATTTTTTCAAAACTATGTTTTTCGAAACCACACAATTTACTCCCCCCTTGTGTGTGAAGTCACATGTTCAACAAATCTTCTTAGCGTTGATTCTCCTATCGTAGTCTCTTATCTTTTGTCTTTGTGGAATTTCCATGTCATGTTTCAATTTATCGCTTTCGTTATTATAAGAAACATTTGTTTTCTCTTCTTCCATTCTCTATTTAACTAATTGCGCTGCTCTATTTGATCTCTTAATTACTCTTGCAGTTTTCTTGATTTCTGAATCAAATGGTATTAGTGTCGATCTTTAACCTGACATAAACAATTAGGAAATACCTTAGTAACACTGCACCAAACAAAAACTAAACAAGATTAGAAATAAAATTCAAATAAAATAAAAAATAAAAATAAAAACGTAGCAAAAAAAATTCCTTGTTGAAATAATTCAACAATCTCCGGTAATGGCTCCAAAAACGTTATAGACTTTTAGCAAGCGTACTAAATGTTACCAAACGTAATAAAAATATGTTTGTATCCCAGTGATTACTATTTTAACAAGACGATTCACATGCTATTGAAAATAAAAATTGGAGGGTGGTTTAAGGTTTGATTTTGATAAAATAAATGCATCAATAAACTGTTGGAAACATGATCAGATTGAAGGTGATTAGGCCTTGTTTCAAATCCCCTGTATGTAACTCTTGATGATGACATCTATTTTCCCTAAGTTGATTACCCAGAGATTATGACAGTTTAACTTTACCGTTATACCTAATTTCTTGGTGTATAACTCACTCTTCTAGACTACAACTCTCTAATTCCTTAGGTCAGCTGGATATTTAAAAAAGTTAATATTTGGTGCATTAAACCTTAAGTCACAATTTATAATTTCTTATCCCTAATCAATTACTAAGTTGAACAGTTGATTTAGATTATACTCGTATAGTTATGGTCAATAATCAATATGGTTCTACTTTCGATATATGAATTTGTCAACACATGTAAAGCATGAACATGAAATCAACTCAATAGCAATATTGAATTAATAAAAAGTTCCGATAGTATAATGCGCAGACATATGATCCAACAGGTTCATACAGGTTCATCTAACACGCTCTAATAAATAGAATTTTAACTACTCATACTAATATGAATCAAAATTGTAGAAATAAAGAAATGATACATGACTATTCGGCTAGAATTTAGTTTCTAATGTTGAAAACTTTTGTTCCAAAGCTTTAAAATTTTGTGCCAAAATAATCCCACCCCTTATCCTCTTCATTTTTTTTTTCTTTTTATAGAAGTAAAAATGTGTCAGCAAATAGGTCACATTACGCCACAATGTCTTGTTATCTCACTGTAATGTGCTATGTAAGAAACAAATTAAGTCGCGATCACTTTTCATCTTGCCACAATGAGTTTGTTTCTTGCTCAATCATGGCATGATGTGGCCACGAATTTTCCGATATGTTTTTGCTCTTTTCTTCACCAATTCACCACTTTTCATGTTTTGTCTTAACTCCTTCATTTCTTCATTTTATTCTTATTTCTTAATCAAACTTAACCAAAATCAACTGAATATAACTAAAAACATATGCAAATATGCGTATAAAAGTTACATGATGACAGGGTGTCATCAACATGTATGGATTAGACTTGTTCCTTATAACAAAATAACTCAATTTTACTTTTTGACTTGTAGACATTGGATATCTTGCAATCTTAAAGGAAATGCTAAAGAGTTGCACAAAAACCAATGTAGGTTAATATTTGTGATCTAGTGTTAATACTTATGGAAGTAGAGGAACAAATCACTGTTTGAAGAAGGCTTTCAAAGACCTATCAACCCAAGTGAAGCAATCATGCATCTGGGTTAAGGAGATCAGGGCTGATATTCAGGTGTAGAACAATGTTAGATCCTCGGTGCAAAAAATCAAGCATGTCAAATAGTATCACCCTGGGGGAAATCAAATTAAGCTCAATTGTGATGGTGTGTATAAAAAATATAATTCCACTAAATGAAGTGGAGTCTGTTTTCAAAGACTCCTCTAGAAATTAGGTGATATGCTATGTGTGGAAAATTGTTTTGTATGATGCTCTCACGACAAAGATGTGGGTGATGTTGCATGGGATTGAGCTAGCTTGGAGGGATAAAATTATAAATCTAGTGGTCGAAAGTGACTCTAAAATTTCTAATAGACATGGTTAACCAAGAGATTATGGACGATCACAACTTCCCAGCCTTAATTCATAGAATCAGAAGGATGAGTTTGAAGAATTAACGCATCAAGTTCATCATATTTGGCGTGAAGGAATCAGTGTGAAGATTGGATAACCAATCATAGTCTTACTTTGAATAAAAGTGAGCTTCTCATTGTTTTCAATCTCGTGTCAAATGAGTTAAATCTAATTTTACCTAATGATAATTTGAAAGCCTCATCCCCTAGATGTGTTAGAGTGTGTTGTTAGACTTTTTCTTTTCTTTGGGCCTTCAGGCCCTCCTTTGTAACAAAAACAAAATGACTCGTTAGTGCAAATATGACTGAAAAAAATATAACTGAAGACATTGAAATTTTTATTCTTCGTGTTTATACGGAGAAAAAAATCATAAACAGAAAGTCATTACCACCATGACAATATGCCATTCATCTTCAAACTACCGTTACGACACTGTTACAGACGTGACAAACACAACATTTGTATCGCGTGAATCTGTGAAAGTCTTTACGGGAACAGAACACGACCGTGACAATTATTTAAAACCTTAGACTTAAGTATCCAATCTACTTATCCAAAAAACACTCTTGAACAAACATAATGACAAATAAGTAAATAAGAATAAATTTTTTAATAAAATGCATAATGCATACGCAAGAAGAATATTACAACTTCATGGGGATTGTTAAGAAATGTGGTTGGGTCTAACTCAACCCTACAGAATCAGTTTCTAGAGTGAGGACTCTCCTCACTTATAAATACATGTTCAGGCCATATACTATCCGATGTGGGGATGTTAACACACCCCTCACGCTCAGGACTAGACAATTTGAGCGTGAAAATAAATTGTGGGTGATCCGATAGCAGAAACCATAGTAGGTGGCTCACCAGATCTTAAACCAGACTCTGATACCATCTTAAGAAATGTGGTTGGGTCTAAATCAATCCTAAAAAATCAGTAGGTAGAGTGAGGACTCCCCCCACTTATAAATACATGTTTAAGTCATATATTATTCAATGTGAGACTCTTAACACACCATCTCACGCTCAGGACTAGACAATTGGAGTGTGAAAATAAATTGTGGGTGGCCTGATAGCGGAAACCATAGTAGACGGCCTACCAGATCTTAAACCAGACTCTGATATCATGTTAAGAAATGTAGTTAGGCTTAACTCAACCCTACAAAACCGGTTGGAAGAGTTAGGACTCCCTCACTTATAAACACGTGTTCAAACCATATATTATCCGATGCGAGACTCTTAACACACCCCCTCACGCCCAAGATTAGACAATTGGAGCGTGAAAATAAATTATGGGTGACCCGAAAGCAGAAACCATAGTAGGTGGTCCACCATATCTTAAATCAGATTCCAATACCATGTTAAGAAATGTGATTGAATCTAACTCAATCCTACAAAACCGATGGATAGAATGAGAACTGCCTCCACTTATAAACACATACCCAAATTAAATATTATCTGATGTGAAAAGGATAAAAATTAATTTTTTATCAACTATAATTTTTATCAATAAGTTGAGTGAGAGATTGCAATTGTTTGTAGACAGCGTTCCAACCATTTTATCAATAAAATACACAATTTCTATGCTTGAAGAATGTAACAAATAATGAATCAAAAGTTAATTTTTTTCAATAAGTTGACCAAGAGATGATTGCAATTGTTTGTAGACAGCATTCCAACCATTTTGAGAAGGGTGAACTGTATCCCAAAAGAATGAAACCTCTGGCTTCTCACACAAACTATATTTCTTTTCTCCATTATCATCCACACTTCCACAAGAATTTTCCAAACTCTCTCCCTTACAACACAATTCTAATGGATTCATTAGAGCTGAATTTTCTGCATAATGAAGAAAACAAATTGAACTCATCACTAATTTACGTTTTCAACAAACAACATTCACACACACACATATATTTCATTTTAGAAATAATTATTATAAAGTTGAAAATAACATACCATAGCGATTTTTCTGCATCATTTCAATTGTAGATAGGAAAGCGTTGTAAAGGTCTAGTGGAACAAAAACTGATTTTCCAAGTTGCTGGTTAAGTTGTAGCAAATTCTTGAGAAGTAATTGGTTGTGATTTTCAGATACCAAATTTAGAAGATCAACGCAAGTAAGATGAAAAATTACCTGAGTTATTGGAGGCATGCAGCCAATAGGTTCCAATAACCCAATTGCTATTTTATTTATTCCTAAATTATGGATGCGTTGAACATTTAACGATAATTGCTTGATAAGCAATGTAGTGAAAGATTTTATCTCCTATCAAAATGAAAAACAAAAATTAGTAGAAAAATTTACAACAAAAAATATGAAGAAAATAATGTTAAACACTTACGGTAATGCTTCTATTGCTTACAAAGGCAACATAATCGTTGCCAGAAGCGCTTACGAGCGCAATGGAAGATTTAAGGTCTTGTTTGGTATAGACATTTTGTTTGATTAGTTTCTCGAGTGAGTCGATTTGAACGGTCATGTTTGGTCCATTGATCGATGTTTGGAAAACACCAGTTCCTCCATGAGCAAAGTTGATTCCATATTGTAGATTCGAGGAATTCTTCAAAGAGTATGGTGTAGGGCTTTCAATTTTCAAAAACGAAGCTGCATGCATGAGGAAAAAGAGTGACATGAAAGTGTAATTAAATCAAACAAAAGGGTAAAACAATGCGTATTGGCTAGCTTGTGCTGTGTTACATACTTATTTATTCTTTCAAATTTACGAAATAGAACTCTAGTCATTTATGTTTAAAAAAATCAAGTCATCTATTGAAATACTTACTTTATGAGAAAGATCGATTAAGTTATATATAGTCATTTTAAGTTTTTTTTAATTAAGGCTGTTGTATTTTAAAAGCTTTTAATCTATTACAGTTACAGTTAGTTAATCTAATAAATCAATTAATTGGTTTATTAATTTTTTTTTATATAAAAGAGGCATATTCACAAAATTTTCCAAAATCCTTTAAGGCATATTTACATCCACCATTTGTTTTTAGAATTTTGATTTTGTGATAATTTTTTCTTTCTACAATGAATTTGAACTTTTTGAACCCTTCAAGTACCTCATATTTTCTTTTGGTTAAATAAGTCGACAACTTTTTAGTATAATTATCAATAAAAGTGACAAAACACTTATTGTTTCAGATTGAGTCAACATGCATTGGTCCACAAACATTTGAATACACCACCTTGAGAAGACACTTGATTCTACATCCTGCATCTTTGATAAAGTTGTCTTTGTGTTGCTTGGCATGCACACAGTCTTCACATACTACAATTGGCATATTGATCAATGACAGTCCCATAACCATGTTATTTTTCTACTTACCATTAAAATCTCTTAAATTTAAATGTCCAAGTCTATATAGTGTTAAATTCATTCCTCCCTACTAAAAATTGTTTCAAGACACCTATGCTCCATTACTTTTAGTTCAACCTTGAAACTTCTGTTCTGAGACATAAGGGGCTTTAGAATCGAATTCTCATTTGCATTCATAACTTTTAACACTTTACTTTCCATGTGAATCTTATGATTTCTTTCAAGAAATTGACCAATGCTTAAAAAATTACACTTTATTCCATGAACATATAACACATCTTTAATCAAGAAATGATCATCATTCTTTCTCTTAATTGATACATCATCAATCCCCTATGCTGCTAGTATGAGTCATCTGTGAATTTCACCTTATTCTTCATGGCTTGATTTATTTTTACAAACCAATCCTTCGTTCACGTCATGTGAGTTGAGCACTTGGCATCAAGATACCATTGATCGCTTCATTTTGTATCTTCAAGCATAATCACCATTGCATTTTCAAATGTGGTAACTGGTTACTGTAGGCTCTAATCGGTTACAACTATCTTCTGCCACATCTAGTAATTGGTTACTAGAAGAGCGTAACTAGTTACCAATGCTCTCTGTGGTTTTTTCTAATTTTGCGATCACTCTCATCATCTTCTTGCCTTGCAATTTTTACTTTAGCTTCTTATGAATCTTTCTGGTTGGCATTACATTCACTAGCAAAATTTTCAAGCTTTTGACAACTGTAGCATTGAAGATTGTTTTTGTCAACTTTCTTTCTTCCTCTATTGTATCCACCTTTGTAATTGTTTGATCTACCACCTCTCTTATAGTTGCTTTCACCCTTTTGAATTGTTGAATTGTTGGAATTTTGAGATTCTCTTCCACTATTGTTCTAATAGTTTCCTCTATCTCTATTCATGGATATTTTTTCTTCACCTTTTTGTCTCTTCCAACAAAATGGACCTACAAAGAAATTTCAAAATTTTCCTTGTCAACATTCCTCTCCCTCATTCTCTGATCACGATCCTTAAGAGAAATTTATAGTTCCTCTTTGATCATGGTTGAAAGATCCTTGGACCTTTTAATTGCAATCACTATGTTATCGAATCTTGATGTTAAATATCTCAAGATTTTACCAACCACATTTTGCTAAGTGATTGTCCATCCACAAGCTTTTACTTGTTTCAGCAATCTTGTGATTCTTGTTGTGAATTCACTAATGATTTCCTACTTTTCCATCAGAATCAATTTTAACTGTCTCCTATGAGTTTGTAACTTCACCACCTTTGCTTTATCAACTCCTGCATAACTTTGCTTCAGAATTTCTGAAGCTTCCGTTGAGGATGTGCAATCACCAACCTTCTCAAAGTTATCAACATCAACCTATTGATGAATCAGGTAAAACTTTGAAATCTTTCGTCTTTTCTTCCTTATGTGTAGTCCTTTATGCAGTCGTTGCACCTTCTACAAGTGAATTAACATCATTCTTGATCACTTCAAAAACATCTGGATAACCAAACAACACATTCATTTGTTTGCACCACTTATCATAATTCTTCGTATTGAGAAATTGAGAGATTTGCATAAATTCATTCGTTGGAGATGAAATGCATTTTTGCACACTTAGTGGTTAATCAAAGAACCAGACTCTTTATGTCAAATGTTGGAGAAAAATAATCTCAAGATAACACTAGTGTGCAAATGCATTTTTGCACACTTAGTGGTTAATCAAAGAACCAGACTCTTTATGTCAAATGTTGGAGAAAAATAATCTCAAGATAACACTAGTGTGCAAATGTGGATAGGGTGAGAGCATAAGTGGAGCCAAGACCCTAGAGGCCGCAGACTTTTTAAATTCAAAAATAATTATAAATTATATATAATAAAACTTTGTTTTTTCTTAGATTTTTAATGAATTTCAATTACTTCAAATGTTTAGTCTATCAATACAGTAGACAATTTATATTATTCTAAAACAGTATGATTTAGTATTCCACAAAGAAAGACAGAAGTGTTACCAATGTAATCCGTGAGAACACGACCATCTGAAAATCTTCCAGCAGGTTTACCAGGAAATGTGATTCCATAAGGAGGTTTATACGAAGATGAGTTCAAGAAATTGCCTGTATCTACATAGGAGTCTCCAAATACAAACAATTTTACAGAGTTGTTGTTGTCGTATACCCCATATGTTTTCTTTGTCCCTTCTACCATATCTGCAACATTAATAAATTAATTAACACAAATATGAATGAACCATTGAAATGAAGAAGTCAAATTTATTTAATTGAATGAGTCCATACCTGTTGTTATTAAAGTGAGAATAAGAAGAGTGATTACAAGTTGCTTCTTCATTGATGAACAAAAATAGATTGGTAATGTTAAACTGTTTACTCTCTCGGATCCTATTTATAAGTAAAAATGTTGCCACAGGTATGGAAAATGCTTTGCTCAACAAGGGGAACAGAGTTCTCCAGAGATTTATTTGTTTTGTTTTGTTTTCTCCAGAGATATATTTGCAAAAATCAATACTCATTAATGATTTTTTAATATATTTTATTTCTCATTAAAAAAATTAATGATTTACAAAAAAAGAAAATATTTAAAGTATTATTGGAAAATCTATTATTAATATAAGAATGCTAACTACATAGATAATTATATTTTTATCAATACTCCAAATTATCAGAATTAATTTTTATCAAAGAGATAGCTTTTTCATCTCGAAAATGATTTTTAAAAGTATAATTATTAAACATGTTTTCTTTTATTTTTATCCTTCAAAACTGGTTTTTAATAATTGATTTACAAAATATTTTTTAAGAACTAGAAGCAAAACTGATTGATATAAACCTTTAAGCTCTCAAAGCTCAAAATTTGTGGATGCTACATAAATAGAGCATGAAGAGGAAACCTTATCCAATAATGAGGTTGATAACAATTCATATATTACTAAGATTATCCCTAAAATTATCCAAAAGGAATGAATTTCTTAAAATAATCATGGCTAACATGGCTGAAAATGAGAATTTAGAAGCCAACTAAGGTGAGGAAGTTGGAGAAAATTTCCAACTTATGATTTAGTGATGCATTTCTAATGAAATGTATTTTTTTATTGGATATTGCATCACTATTTTGAGAGCTCATGAGCATAGTGAAGCTCACTCCCCTGCTAGAAATTTATAATTACAATGATTGTATTGAATATAAAAAAATTAAAGAATATGATTGTGTATTGTTTACACAGTAGCAGAGTTTGTCCACAGGATTCTTGTTAGTAACACCAACATATCTGAGCCTTTTCAAGGTATGCGTGAAGTTCCTTTTCGTTCATAACTCCAAAGAAATCACTAAGTACTAATTAAACAAAGAGGATTAAGCATCACAATTCTCATGTAAGCATACAGAATAATTAAGCAAAGAGAATATGGAAATTTAGACCAAATGGCTTTATATTTGGTAAAATTTGCTTACTTCAAACACCTATCTCTACCAACATTGAGCTCAAACTTCAACTGATTTCTCTAATGTCCAAAGGCATAACAATAAGAATCCAGACCCCCAAACTTCTATCATCTTTTCAGTACCTTAACACAAGGCCAGCTGCCATGCCAATGGAGGCTACAATATCGCTGGTCTGTCCATTGCAGCATGCATAACTTCACACAACCAGTAGGAAACCTGGCAAATATGTTCGCTTCCCTGGAGCATATGCAGTAATAACTACCGAAAACTTCTTCTGAGAATATTTTGGCAGCGTAACATACCTGCTTGCATTGTTGTCTTGCCCTGACACCAAGAGGCTGACATGATTACCAAAGTAAGATGATAGAAACATAAATATCTTATGGAACGGAATTCATTTCGATAGAGCTGGTAAGTAATAAGCAAACACCTTACAGACTTTGTTTTCTTATCAAGCAGATGGTCTGGCGCGACCCTTGTTGTATCTTGGCGGGGTAGTCTTGGCAACATCTACCACTATCATCCAGCCATTAATAATCTGCACTCAGAATAAAAGCATTATAGACTACCAAACTTCTTTTTATTACGAGTTATAAACCCGTATTATTTTTCTTTCTCCATGAGCACGCTGAAGCAGAACCAACGCAAAACACGAAGATGCATTTTTCATGCAAGAAAAAGAGACGGATCTACCTTGCCATTCATCTCTTTGAGTGCTGCACCCGCAGCCTCTTCTGTGGCATATTCGATAAATGCATAACCCTTGGACCTTTTTGAAATTTTATCTATGATAACTTTAACTGTCAAACATAACCATTTATTTATTAGAAAAAGCAGGGACAAAATTTTAGTTCTCCCTCCAGATAGTAAATATTGATAGCGGGAAAAGAAAACAATATATAATATTGAAATCACCTTCAACAAGCTCGCCAAAGCCTTCAAATGCAGTACGTAAGGTTTTCTCAGATGTATAAAATGATAGCCCTGTTCAAGAGACAAGTAACTCTCAAATGGTACTGCTATATCATCCCATGCAATAAAAAATGTTCGCCCAAATAATAATTTGTGTTTTTATTGACAAAGTGATTCAATCACAATTTTAATGAAATAGCCACATGAACATCTAAATGAACATGAGATAAAAGTTAAAACATGGTCTATAGTACCTTAGAATGAATTTTGCAAGCATAGAATACCTGTCACAAAAAGTTTCTTTGTTTCCACTGAAGTTTCCTGAGTTTCTCCCAAAGAACTAGGCACATTCAGTCTATTTTCCAAGTTTCTACCTGAACATATGCAGTTGGTAGGAAATCAAAGAAAAAAGTGTCATATGGCTAACATAAGAAAGTAGAAAATCATGAACAAACAAAATTCAATATCGGTGAAAACTGTATCCTCAGTGAAAGACAATTAAAATTTGGAAGAGAACTGATGGAACTACTATTCCGTATGTACTTTCATACATAGTCAATATCACTCAATTAGGTCTGTAGTGCATAAACATGTGCTAGAATCATTGAAAAAACAGATGAAACTACAACGTTATGTTTTGTTTCTGGTATATTTTAGGATTCTATATTTTAATTCATAGAGTTGCTTAAGCGTGCATAAGTTTTAAGAGATAGACTTGTCTAGTCTATGATACAAATGAGGTAAAGGCTCTGATAATTCCAATGTATTTACTGCAAAATGACCATTCAATACAAACAAGCAAGCTATAACCCTAGGTGAGATCAACCAACACAAAGACCTCATTACAACTATAAAGAGCTCACCAATGAAATACTCAGTCTGTTCCAACAAAAACTGTCGATTTAGCATACAAAATATACTTTAAAATTAGTATTGGTTTGCTTTTTTGATATGCCAATAATTATTTCTTCCCCATTTCTATCCATAAATTAATGTATGCGCACACAACTTGCAAGTAATACTCCACTATACATTAATAGTTTTTCTTAATCTCTGAAAAATCCTAAGACAGCGGTTAGGGGTGGCAAACAGGCATGCCTGCTCCGGAAAAAAAAAAAAAAACAGGACAGGGCAGACATTGTGTAGGGTGTTGGCCTAAAACCTTGAGCCGCCACAAAAAAATGAGGGTGGGCCTGCAGACACTACACCTTTAAAACCTAAAAATTGCAAAATCTTGTGTTAATACCTGCGTCCGTAAATAAACGGGGTGGGACAAGGCAAGCATATTAGAGGGTTTGAGCCTAAAACCATGACCCGCCCCACAGAAAAATGTGTGCAAAACAGGCATACCCAACTGGTCAGACCAGGCCCGTTTTGCTACCCGTAACTGCGGTTATTTTGAACCGGAGGGAGTATAAACTAATGCAAAATATCATCCAAGATACAAGAACACAAATCACACTTGCCACATAACTTAAACTGAGGTAAAATGATAGTATTATCGAGAACCTCTCCCAAAGGAAAAAATGCAGGGAATTAACAAAACAGGCAAACCTTCATAATTCTTATTTTCAGACTCAAAATTATGGTCCGGCTGAACAGACAACACACCAGGCACACCTGCATCACAACAAGCCTCTCAAATTTCATTTAATTTGGTAATTTAAACTATGAAAAAAAGGTTAAAAATCCACAAGACTAACCAGCTAACTCATGTGCACAGTCCTCGTCAATTTCACAACAAAAGCCAAAGTTGGTTTTCCAAGAAACGTGATACAAACACCTTTGTGCATCTTTTTCACTGCATACACGGTTTTCATCAAGTTTGTTAGTGAAAGCAAGAAACCTAATGAAAAATAGCAGATAAAGTAGAGTTGAGTTTCCTTACTTTCCAATAACCTTAGTCAAAATTTGAGCATAATGATCAACAATCTGAGCTTTGGTAACAACACCAACAGAAGGCTTATCCATTCTAACAATCCAATGGTTTGAATCTGAGCATAATTGAACAATGAACGACAATTAAAATTCGGAAGAAAACTGATAGAACAACTATTTCGTATGTACTTTCATACATAGTCAATATCACTCAATTAGGTCTGTAGTGCATAAACATGTGCTAGAATCATAGAAAAACAGATGAACCTACAAAGTTATGTTTTGTTTCTGGTATATTTTCGGATTCTATATTTTTAGTTCATAGAGTTGCTTAAGCATGCACAAGTTTTAAGAGATAGACTTGTCTATTCTATGATACAAATGAGGTAAAGGCTCTGATAATTCCAATGTATTTACTGCAAAATGACCATTCAATACAAACAAGCAAGCTATAACCCTAGGTGAGATCAGCCAAAACCAAAAACCAACACAAAGAGCTCATCACAACTATAAAGATCTCACCAATGTGAAATACTCAGTCTGTTCCAACAAAAGCTGTCGATTTAGCGTATAAAATATATTTTAAAATTAGTATTGGTTTGCTTTTTCGATGTGCCATTAATTATTTCTTCCCCAATTCTATCCATAAATTAATGTATGCGCACATACTCCACTATACATTAATAGTTTTTCTTAATCTCTGAAAAAAACTAAGACTGCGGTTAGGGGTGGCAAACAGGCATGCCTGCTCTGCAAAAAAAAACGGGGCAGAGCAGACATTCTTCAGAGTGTCAGCCTAAAACCTTGAGCCGCCACAAAAAAATGAGGGTGGGCCTACAGACACTACACCTTTAAAACCTAAAAATTGCAAAACCTTGTGTTAATGCCCGCGTCCGTAAATAAACGGGATAGGACAAGGCGGGCATATTAGAGGGCGCGAGTCTAAAACCACGACCCTCCCCACGAAAAAATGCGGGCAAAACAGGCATGCCCGGCAGATTAGGCCACGCCCGTTTTGCCACCCGTAACTGAGGTTATTTTGAACCGGATGGAATTAAAACTAATGCAAAATATCATCCAAGATACAAGAACACAAATCACACATGCCACATAACTTATACAGAGGTAAAATGATAGTACTATCCAGAACCTCTCCCAAAGGAAAAAATATAGGGAATTTACAAAACAGGCAAACCTTCATAATTCTTATTTTCAGACTCAAAATTATGGTCTGGCTGAACTGACAACACACCAGGCACACCTGCATCACAACAAGCCTCTCAAATTTCATTCAATTCAGTAATTTAAACTATCAAAAAAAAGATTAAAACTCCACAACACTAACCAGCCAACTCATGTGCACGGTCCTCATCAATTTCACAACAAAAGCCAAAGTTGGTTTTCCAAGAAACATGATACAAACACTTTTGTGCATCTTTTTCACTGCATACACGATTTTCATCAAGTTTTTTAGTGAAAGCAAGAAACCTAATGAAAAATAGCAGATAAAGTAGAGTTGAGTTTCCTTACTTTCCAATAACCTTACTCAAAATTTGAGCATAATGATCAACAATCTGAGCTTTGGTAACAACACCAACAGCAGGCTTATCCATTCTAACAATCCAATGATTTGAATTTCCCGTAGGGAGCAACATATCGGTTTGTGAAATTGATGGTTGGGAATTTGTTGCTGAGATTCTGGTAAAAGAGGAATTACATGAAATGGAAGAAGAAGAGTGATTGTTTTTGTTGGGTAGTGTTGTGGTTATTGGTTGTTTGAGAGAGAGAAAGGTTTGAGATTTGGGGAATGTGACGGAGAGAGAAAGAACTTCCATGTTTGTATATGACATTACTATGGTTTTCGTTTCAGTGTCTGTGATTCATTCTCTCAATGGCTATTCAAACACCCAACAGTTATTTACTGTATTTTCAATTGCAAATGGGTTTGTTTCACAAAGATGAACAGAGTCCTATCCTATTGGTTCGAATGGGTCCAACCGAATATGAAAAAATCAATTAAACCGAATATGAAAAAATCAATTAAACCGAAAATTCAAACTAATTGTTTTTTATTAGGTTCAAAAATCAAACCAAACAAGGGCGGAACATATAAAAGAAATTATAAACTAAATTATATTAAAAATAAGAAATAGTAATTGTTTTAAAACGATATTTTTATAATAAAAATTGTCTTTCAAATACGAGGGTGAGGGTGAGAGGTGGTGTTAGTATTTAAAATCTAAGTTTAATACCTCTTTTAATTCCTTAACTTTAGTGTTTGTTTCATTTTAGTTTCTTAAGAAAAAAATGTTACATTATGGTCCACTAATTTATATTCTGTTACGTATAGTAGTCCTTTGTGTTAGTTTAGGTTGGGAAAACTTTAGAAATTGCACTGCTGGACTTTAAATGGCTTAGGTGGATATTCTATAATCATTTTAATAGATGACGTAGATTTTGTATTACACATAACATTCATTTTAAAGAGATGAAACGTGTTAGGGGATGATAACATTGTTGGATGAAAGCTCAGGTTCAGACAACGACTACATTGTGAAGAAGAACACTAGTTTGAAGACGACGTTTACGACAACACTTGTTTGAAGACGAAGTTCAGATAGCGGCGTTTATGACTACAAGAAAACCCTAAGGTACGACAACAACGCTTCTTTGAAGACGAAGTTCATTGCAGAAGAATGAAGAAGAAGAAGAAGAAGAAGAAGAAGAAGAAGAACTTCATTATTTCACTCGTCTGGACAGAAAACCCTAAGGTACGAACTTGCACAAATACGATTCAAAAAATGTTAAATTTCTTCTATACCTAACTTGCTTAGTACTTTTGATGCTATATGTAGGTTGATTATGTTCATCATTCTGGTGAGCTTTCTAGGGAGTTTGTAAATCTTACTAAGTCAGGTTATGTAGGGTTAGAGGAGATGTTGATCCTGATTATTGGAGTTACTTTGAAATATTGGACAAGTTAAGAGAGTTAGATTACCCTACTATAGATAGGCTTTGGTATTATGATGATATGATTGCTAATGATATAGTTCAGTTAGAAAATGATAAGGAGACTGATAGAATAAGAAGCATTGCAGTGTTAACTGGGGAAAGCCACTTGTATGTTACACATCATGTATCTGAACCTTATGTTATTGAGGAGCTCATACTCTCACTACCACATGTGAGCATATTGGGTGAAGATATGTGTGGTGAAGGGCCTAATATGGTTAATAATCAGGATGGGACCACAGTGGCTGAGGATGTGGTTGGTGAAGTATATGAATAAGGAAGTAATGAATGTGGGACCACACTGGGAGAAGATGTGGTGGAAGAGGGGACAAAAGTTGATGAAGTTGAGGAGAATGTTGGGATTGAAGATAGTGTTGGAATTGAGGAAAATGTGGGTGATGTGGGGATCAACTTTAAAACTGAGATGAATGTTGGTCAAAAAGAGACAAACTGTAACAGTATGGATGATATGGGGACCACCTGTGAAATAGAGGAGAATGTGGATGTAGAGATGAATGTTGGAGGGGATGAAATCAATGAAGGACTGAATTGTAACCAAGAACAAGATGAGATAGTTAAACTGTAACCAAGAAGATGGAAGTGATGACAGTGCTTTGAATGTTAATTTTGAAGACTCAGAGAATGATATAGGTATTGATGGAGAGATAGAAATTGATGGGGATGAAACGGATGTAACAAGTAAGTTGAAGGGAAAAGGCAATGGGAAAACCATGGGAAAGGTAAGGGGAAAGGGAAAGGGAAAGGGAAAGGGAAATGGAAGGGGAAAGGGAAGGGAAAAGGAAGGGGAAAGGTCATTGTTAGGGATGTAGGTGAAGATAATGATGATGAGGTAAATCTGGACAATTTGATAGGTTTAGGTGACATAGAGGAGTGTGATAGTGATAAAATTCCTACTGAGTATGACAGTGAGAATGATGAGGTTGTAAATGATGATTTTGTAACCTTTAAGCTTCCAAAAAGAATGGAAGACTACAAATGAGAACTTGGTACATTTTTTTTCTACAAAAGGGGTGTTTCAAGAGGCAATAAGAACATATGTCATTCATTCAGGAAGGAACTTGAAATTTACAAAATAATGATAAGGCAAGAATGAGAGTTAAATGTAAGGCAGGTTACCCATGGGAGGCTTACTGTGCAAATATTAAAGGTCTGGAGACTTGGCAAATGAGGACAATTATGGACAAGCATACTTGTAGTAGGAATTATAAGATTAGGTTCCTCAATTCAAAATGGTTGGGCAAGAAGATTCAAGCAAGTGTTAAAGAGAATCCAGCTCTGAAGTTAACTGATATTATGGAGAAGACACATGAAAAGTGGAATGTTAGGATTAACAAGACATTGGCATATAGAGCTAAAACACTAGTTGTTGATATTGTGGATGGTTCTTTTAGAGAGCAGTATAGAAGAATTCATGATTATGGCCATGAACTATTGAGGGCAAACCCAGGATCAACTGTGAAGATTACAATTCATCCCCCAGTTCAAGGGGAAAGCAGTGAAAACTCTACTCAATTGAATCCTCATTTTCAGAGGATGTATGTTTGTCTCAAAGCTTGCAAGGATAGTTTTTTCAAATGCAGACCTATTATAGGATTAGATGGTTGTTTCTTAAAGGGATACTATGGAGGAGAAATACTAGTTGATATTGATAGAGACCCAAATGACCAAATGCTTTCAATTGCATATGTTGTTGTTAAGGGTGAAATTAAAGACTCATGGAGCTGGTTTCTAGAGTTATTGGTACCTGATTTTGAAGGAGTCAGGTTGTGCAGAACATATACCTTCATTAGTGATCAACAAAAGGTTAGGTTTTAAACTCTCACCTTAAAATGTAATTGTTAGACAATTGTTTTATTTTCACCATCATTCTTACTTATTTATGGATGCAGGGTTTGCTGCCAGCTCTTAATGAATTACTTGGTAATGTTGACCAGAGACTATGTGTTAGGTAATGTTTACTCTCACTTTAGTAACTTACATATTAAATATGACATACTTGACTTAGTAACTTACATATTGAATATGTCATACTTGGTAATGTTTACACTTACTTTATATTGCAGACATTTGTGGAGGGTTGCATGTGCAAGTTATGTTAATGCTTAGGAGAAAATAATGCTTGAAATAAAAGGAGTTAATGAAGAGGCCTTCAAACACCTCATCAAAATTCCACCAAGATTCTGGAGCAAATCAAGGTTTCAGCCAAGTTCATGTTATGACACTTTGGTTAACAATATGTCAGAGGCCTTCAATTTTGTATTTGTGGCTGCTAGATCCAAGCCCATTATGACAATGCTGGAAAAAATTAGAGTATACATAATGCAGATATGGGAATCCAATAGGCAAAAGATCACCAAATATGATAGCATCATACTACCTAACATCAAGAAGAGGATGGAAAGGGAGTCACAAAAAACTAATCTTTGGATTGTGAGATAACATTACTTTCAAATGGCTAATTGTTTACATTGACTGTCATTGTTAATGGTTACTTGTTTACAGGCATGCAGGTGAATATGACTATGAGGTGAGGCATACTTCACTCAATGGAGAAAAATATGTTGTTAACCTTTACAAGAAAGAATGCTCATGTAGACTATGGGTGCTGACTGGACTTCCTTGCTGTCATGCAATGTCTTGCATGAAAGATCAACATTTGGAGATTAATGACTTTGTACCTGATTGTTACAAGAAGGAACAATATGCTGCTTGCTATGCACATGTGATATATCCACTTAATGGGGAAGCCTTAGTGTTGTTGATCTTCAGCCACCACCAATAAAGAGGCAGCCTGGAAGGCCAAAGAAAAAAAAAGGAATAGGGAAGCTGGAGAGACGGTGAGGGATGAGACACACATGAAGAGGGCAAGACATGGTATAAAGTGTAGTCGTTGCCACAAGGATAGTCACAACAAGGCCACTTATAAACAACCACAACCACAAGCTAGTTCAAGTCAGGTACAAGATGCAACAAGTCAGCAACCATCACAAGTTAATACAAGTTAATCACCACTTGTTGCATCAAGTCAACCACCATCACAAGTTGTTACAAGTCAACCACCACCACCTATTGCAACAAGTCATCCACCACCATAATCTGTTACAAGTCAACCACCACCATTTGTTGTTACAAGTCAGCCACCACCACAATCTGTTACAAGTCAACCACCACCACATGTTTTTACAAGTCAACCACCACCCAAAACTAAGAAAAAACTTCATAAGGGTGGCAAGCCTATTGCAAGCCAACCACGATCAATATTATTATGTTTACTAGGATTTTATAATGCCAATTAATGGTCTAACTCTTTTGTTTTTGTTAATGATCTTATAATGCTAATTATGTATTGCCTTATAATGGCGTTTTGATTTTGGACCTGTTATATAATGCCTTACAACGGCCTTTTGGTATTTGAATCTATTATGTATTGCCTTATAATGGCCTTTTGGTTTTGAACCTGTTATGTAATGCCTTACAATGGCCTTTTGGTATTTGAATGGCCTTGTTTTATTAAACAGTGTATTGCCTTATAATGGCCTTGTTTTATTGAACCTGTTGTGTATCAAATATTGAATCTGTTAATGAATGTTGGAATGATTATTGAACCTGTTATGTATCAAACTTTGAAACATGTTTTGAACCTGTTATGTATCAAACATGTTATTGAACCTGTTATGTATCAAACATTTTATTGAACCTGTTATGAAATAGACATGTTACAGTTTGTTTCAACAAATATTGGTCATTGGGCTGCATATTTTACAGGTTGGATATTGAGACATTATTCAATGAACATGTTATGTATCAAACATGTTCAAACAAGTTATATTACAGTTTGTTTCCACAAATATTGGTCATTGGTTATGCATATTTTACATGTTGGATATTGAGACATTATTCAATAAAAATGTGAAAACAGAACACAAGCATTATTCATTGAAACAACATAACAGTATATTATTCATTAAACAAACTCATCAATTTGTTACAACATAACAGTGCATTATTACAAACATAAAAACATAACTTAAAACTACCCTAAAGCTAATTGAGATACATTGTTACAAACACAAGGTTCAACTCTAAGCTTACAATCCCAACAACAATGGACATTTTGAGCCACCCTCGAGTGTACATAACTTCATTCTTCAATCTGTTAATTTTCTTCTTTTTTCTTTTAAGCTATAAATCTCTTTCATCGAGAAACTCGTCACCCAACCACTTGAAGAAATTACAACCCTTTTCAATATGGTTTATGTAATTTCTATAACCCCAGAATTTTCTCCCCTTGTTGACATTGTTCACATCATTCATTGTTCTAAGAACACTTTCATCTTGGTAAAAGTTCTTGATCCTCTTGTTTCTACGAATCAAAGATCCAGATGTGTCATAGCTATAGTTGTTTGAAGTTGAGGCATTGCTTGTACTCTTTGACATTGCTTGAACCCTAATTCTCAAATTGTAGAAGAAAATGAAAGATAGTAGAAGGAAATTGGAAGAAAGGGATTTAACTCTGAATTGAATATGAAGATGAAATAGGTTGAAATATGAAACACAGATGAAGAAGAATGGTGGAAGAAGAATGAGGCAGCAAGAGTGAAATGTGGAACCCTGTGTAAGACAACATATACATGTGCTGATGTGGAATCCTAAATTGGCTTACTTGGCATGCCACCTCACATAAACTAACATTTTTTGACACAAACTAACGGAATGGACCAAAGTGTTTAACGGAACTTAAATTAAAGGATGATTACATAACGTTTTTTAGTTTAAGGATCAAAGCGAAACTTCGCTCAAAGTTAAGGGACCCAGTGACTAATTATGCCTAAAATCTATTTTAGAGCGGTCAAACGAACTGAAAACTAAAAGGATTATTGGTCTGATTTGTTTGATGGATAAGATAAGTTATTAAACCATTGAGAGCCCACAAGAACCGGCCAATACCTATAAAAACTAACAAATTAAATGCTTATTTTTTTCTTCACAAATAATGACGTTGTTTTGACCATTTTTTAAAAATAAAATTAAAATATAAGTACATTTTGTTCAAAACTTATTTTGAACAACTTTTTCTCTTTAGAATTAAATTTATAAGGCATTACGCTTATTTTGTTATTTAGTTTATGTTATAATTAGATTTTATTTAAAATTTATTTTAATTTGTATTTTGTACTATTTTATTGTGTGTGATGATTATGTTTAGAGTTTAAGTTTGAATAATGAACTTGTAAAATAACGATATTTTAAAATTTTGAAATTTAATAGGCGTCGTTATTTTTTTCGAAATCGAGTCATCTAGTTCGACCAATTTAATAACTATATAATTTTGTTATAGAGTTCGGTTTATTCAATTGAACTATACAATTTATTCAAGTGAATTATTCAATTTAATTTGATTTAGTCATGTGATTCGACCGATAAAACCAGTAATTCGATCAACCAATAACTTCACTCATCAATATATATATATATATATATATATATATATATATATATATATATATATATATATATATATATATATATATATATATATATATATATATATATATATATATATATATATATATATATATATATATATATATATATATATATATATATATATATATATATATATATATATATATATATATATATATATATATATATATATATATATATATATATATATATATATATATATATATATATATATATATATATATATATATATATATATATATATATATATATATATATAAGAGGAGAAAGTGAGCCTAAACGTGGATCCGCCCATGAAACCAAATCAATAAATATCAAAGTGGTTTGGTTTGGTTCTCGATTTTAATTTTTATGAACCGTCAAATTAATGAACCAAATTGATGATTATAATACCTACTTAATATTTTATTTTACCCATTATTAAACTCAAATTTTATATCGGTCCAACACTTTTCCATCTTTGTTTACACTTTCTTTCTTTGAACAAAATATGTAGCCAAAACCAAATTGCAAACATAAAAAAATAGAAACCATAAGTCATAAAAATTTGTTTTTACAAAACTGCTACTCTGTCAGTCCGCCGCCACTCTTTCCCTCGCCACCGTCATTCTTATAGGTTATGACTATCTTATTCGTGTTCAAGTTTTATTCGTTAATATTTTTTTTTTTTACCTTTTATGTTTATTCTTTAAAGAATTTTGTTTAGTCTTGTTACAAAATGATTTTTATGTGTGTTTAAGGTGTGAAACATATTAATTTATGTGTATTGAAATCTTTTGTTTTTATTGTTGTGTTTTATTGGTTAAGCTTTCAAATCCTTCTCAATCTTCTCATGTCAACTGTCAATTTTTGTATTCGATAATGAACTTATTTCATGATGCAATGAAAATTATGTCAATGGTTCGTATGAATTAAGAACAATTTGCAAGTTGTTTGAAATGTACTATTTGAACAAATAATAGCATAAAATATACTAAAAAATATGATAGCAAATAATATAAAGATGAATATAATTCTTAGAAAATATAATGTAAACCGATCAATCAAAGCAAATCAAACCAAATCAAACCAGCTAGTTTGGTTTGATTCCATTTAAAAAATACTAAAGACCAAACAAGTTAGTTTGGTTTGATTCCATTAAAAAAATACTAAAAATCAAACCAAATCAATAAAATATCATCGATTCAGATGATTTTTTTGATAAAAAACTGATTCAAACCAAACCGATTACACCCTTCACTATTAGACAAATATCTCCTCTTTTTTCAAGCTATTCCACACTAATGTTTTTTCTGACTAATGGTTTATTTATTTAATTCATATTAATGTCTATCTATTGTTATTTTTTTTGTCTTTGAATATATTTTTATTAACTAATTTAATTAATAAAATTACAAACAAATTGAGAATTGCTCAATCAATCAAAGTATATATAAATGGATAGCACTCTTTGATTGAGTGAGAACTCATAAACAACAAAAAGAAAGAAAATGGAAATTTATAGAAAAAAAGAGGGAGTTATTACTATTCAAAAAGGATTTATTATTCGGATTAGTCAATCTAATATTCTGATGGTTAAAATAAATAAAAAAATTATTATTCTCCTGTTAAACTGCAACTCAGTTAGTAGTTGGGCAAGAAATTCCAACTACTAAATTATTTGACAAAAAAAAATTCTTACCATTCAACGTGTTAAAAAAAATGCAAATTACATCTTTTAATTTCAAGCAAATCTGTTGCGAGAATTTATTTAATAAACAAACTACTAACATGATAGAATTAATATTATTATATTCAACTCATTATTTCATATGCAAAGTCACTTATCTAGGGCTGGCCCAATTAATCAAGTGCTTGTTTTAATTTTAAAAAATATAAATTTATATCAAAATTTTTAAAAGACGGGTATAAAATCGTAAATTTTGTTTACACCTGTTTTTAAAAAACAAATGTAAAATAGATTTTTAGAACAAATTATGATTTTACACATATTTTTTTAAAACAGTGTAAAATATATTGTTTTAATAATTAAAAAAAATGAGCTCTCCTAAATTTGTGACTAGTGTTATAGTATAGGCTGCACCTGCATTGGGTCGGCCCTGCACCCATCCAGAATGTCTTCTTTGTCTTCAAGGTGAAAGTTAAGAAAACAAATGCAAAAATTCTCCGACCCTTTACAAGGGCAAGTCACATGCAGATATATTATCCGTACCACGTAAAAGGTTGAGAGCTGATACATGGAAGACTGGGTGAATACGACTACCAGTTGGAAATTTGAGTTTGTATGTCATTTTC